CCGTCACTGAAGCAAGCAAGCCTCATGTTAGTTTCAAGCTGCCTGGCTGCCGGCCGCCATCTTGGCTGGCAGTTAATTTGCATATTGCCCTGATTAGCCAATGGGAAGGGTAGCGGTCGTATGCTAATTACCATGTTTCTCTTTTATTAGATAGGATTATATTATTTTCCATAGAAACAACTGTGAACCTTCTTTTACCCCACCCTGTACATTTAACTTCTTATAAGTTGCCATTGGCAGTCCTTCATAATCTCACTCAACCTTCCTCTTTTGAGCACCACAGTAAAAACTATATCCCAATCTAACTCTCAGTTCTCCAGCCATGCTTCCCTCTTCCTAGCTCCTAAGGAGGCTGGCTGTCCTCTTTTCCCAGAACAACAGTTCTGGTGCCCCTCCCTCAGTCTACCTACCATCCCTTCATACCTCCCCTAACCTGCCCTCTGATAAAATCCTTTCTGATAAGCTCAGACAGAAATGGTTTCTACATTTCTAGAGCATTTTGAAAGTCCCACACCTACAATCTCTCCTGAAGGGACTGAATCAAAATACAGTAACAGCCACTCACCAATTCAATCACGCCAAACTCTGGGAAGCAGAGAGCTGCTACCTAGACAAGCTGCCACTGCAGGCTTTGCTGCAGATGTTCACTGGGTTGGCTTAAATGATACATGCAACTGTAGCTTTTCCCTTCAATGGCAACTGAATTTCTTAAGGCCAAGGAATTTCTAGGAACATGGAGTGACTTGAAACAATCAAATTGTGTTATCACCTGATTATAGCCCTAGAGCGATAAATGAAGAGGCAAGTAGGAAATGACAACGGGAAGAATATCCTACTTCAACTGTCTTTTTTTTCCTCTATGATGACTAAAGGTTTGTGAATGAGAGCAATTATACAGTGTTACCCTAGAATGTCTCTGGCCAATTCGCTAATATCCTAAAGACTGGCAATAACTCCAGGAATTATAATAATCAGCTTTTAAATCTGGAATGATACATAACTGAAATTAATCTGATCAGTGTAGGCTCATATCAAACTGCTTTCATATGATAAAACTCATTGGAAGTGAAAGCTATTGAATGAAAGCCTAGTAATAGCTAGGGGGAAACCCTTGAAAAAATTATTTTTAACTAAAAAAATGACAATCTAATCTATAAAATATAATAAAAACTACCTTTAAAAATTTGGAATGTGGACATATAGATGGTCAAGAGGCATATGAAAAAATGCTCACAGTCACTGATCATCAGGGAGATGCAAATTAAAATGACAATGAGGTATCACCTCACTCCCATCAGAATGGCTACCATCAACAAATCAACAAATGACAACTGCTAGTGAGGATGTGGAGAGAAGGGAAGCCTAGTACACTGGTGGTGGGAATGCAGACTAGTGCAATCATTATGGAAAACAGTATGGAGTTTCCTCAAATAATTAAATATGGAACTCCCATTTGACCCAGTGATCCCACTTCTAAGAATATATCCTAAGAAACCCAAAGTACCAAATCAGAAAGAATGTATGCACCTCTATATTCACAGCACCACAATTTACAATAGCTAAGATCTGTAAACAGCCCTAGTGCCCATCAGTAGATGAGTGGATAAAAAAGCTGTGGTACATTTATACCATGGAATACTATGCAGCAGTAAAAAAGAAGAATCTTTTACCCTTTGAGACAGAATGGAGGGACCTGGAGAGTATCAAGCTAAGTGAAATAAGTCAGTCAGAGAAAGACAAGTATCAAAAGATCTTACTCATATGTAGAATCTAATTAAGAAAATAAACTGATGAACAGAGTGGATCCAGAGACATGGAAGCATGGAACAGAATGCAGAATCTTGGAGGGAAGGTGGAAGAGGGTGGGTGGGTGGGAGGTAATCAACCAAAGACCTTGTATGAATATATGTATAACCCATGGACACAAACAATAAAGTGGTGAAGGCGTGGAGGATGGGTGGGAATGGGCTGGAGGAGGTAAATGGGGGTGGGGGGAAGGGGGACATATGTAGCACTTTTAACAATAAAAATTTTAAAAAAATAAAAACAGGAGACCCACAAAAAAATACATTTGGAATGTGACACAATGAACTTATGAGAAAACATTAAATTCGGTTGTAGTTCATATTCAGTTAACTAGAATTAAAACGATATTAAAAGAACATAAAAATCTTAAAATTTATAATTGATTAAAAAGTAAAATAGACCTATAGTATCAAAATTGTCTACAAATTACAAAAAAAGAAAATGCTAACACATATACACACTTTATGTACTCATGATCATGTTAGATGTAATACCAATCTAAAAGAGACAATGTCCAAATAATGAACCAAAAAATCATCTCATTTAGAAACTCTTAATATTTGTTTTTAAAACTTTTTAATTCTTAATACAGATTTCTAGCCCAACAAAATAAACCTAGTTAAAGAACAAATGAAAAATGGCTTTTAAAGACACCATTTCTATAAAAGAATACTAATACTTATTTGTTGTTTCAGATGTTGGCTATGCACTGAACTTATTCGCTTCATAACAAGTCTATTGGAGTTTCCCAAAATATCCCAAGCAGAGTTCATTATAGTTATTCAGAATTGACTGAAAATTTACACGGGAAACTAATTTGAAAACTACTACACACTCTAAATCTTAATCTTGAATAGCCAAGAATAGTCACATACCATAAACACAAAAAAGGAATGGTTAAAGAGAAGAACCTAGTACTACATGCCAGACTCTTGATTTAACACTCTATGTAACTCATCCAATCTTCACAAGCTGTAAGGTAGGCAACCATTATCATCACCATCCTATATAATAAAACCCTAATATACAAATAGACTGAACAGCGGAATGACCAGTCGCCATGACATGCACTGACCACCAGGGGGAAGATGCTCAACGCAGGAACTGTCCCCTGGTGGTCAGTGCATTCCCACACGGGGAGCTCCGCTCAGCCAGAAGCTGGGCACATGGCTGGCGAGCACATCGGCAGTGGCAGGAGCCTTTCCTGCTTCCATGGCAGCCCTAAGGACCCCGAAAGGGATGTCCCCCTGATGGCTTAGGCCTGCTCCCTGAGAGAGGGTGTAGGCCAGGCAGAGGGACCACCCCTGCCCTCCAGTGTATGAATGTCATGCACCGGCCTCTAGTTTACAGATGAAAAAACTGGCGGCCCAGAGACACTGAGTAATTTACCAGGAAGCCAGCCTAGCTCAAGTCCGTGTTTTCAAGCACTACACTTTTTGCTTCTTAAAATGGAAGTTATTCCACAGGAAATGTAATGGAATTATATTTCAATACACATCTATTTCCTAAAGGAAGAAAGAGTTCTCAAAAAAGAACTGAAGAAATACTATAAATTTTAATAGAAACAGGGTTTTCTTTTTTTAAAATAGGAAAACTAAATAATATTTAAAATACAATGTACTGATATGGCATAGAATATCTTGAATGTAGTGAGAGAAGTGTCTGTATTCATTTTTTAAAAACATGAACATTTTTCGAAATCATAACCAACCTGTTTTAATTTATATGTGAATAAGAGCACGTTGCTTAAAAAATACAAAAGTACATACTAAAGAGTACTACCAAAATCTGAAGCTTTATTTTACTCATTGAATGTATATGTACATACCAGGGACTGACATGGATATAAACAATGGTGTGATTCTAAAACTAATTATTACCATTTGCCCTGTACAGTTCATCTATTAAAGTACATTCCAATCTTCTTTCACCTGCTCCTCCTTGTGGCTGCTGTTTAATAAACTGCCACTGGGTAGCAGACTGAAAATGTCCCAGAACTTCAGACAGGGGAAAGGGCCCAGCAAGAAGATGGAAGATCAAGAAAAGAGACATCACATGAAAGTTGAGCTCTGTGAAAATTCCACACCAGTTCTTCCAGGTAGTCCAAAGATCATTTATAGTATAAAACCAGTTCGTGAAGCAAAGCAGTACCCATTATGCCTGTGTACTAACTGTTCTCTTCCCACTGGTGTGTGTGGAGTTTTCTGGGCTGCTTTTTATGGATTCCAACAAGTTTTTAATTCTCTCACTTGCAGGTTTCTTCCTTTTCTTCTTGTCATGAGACACACTCTTTGCTATGGAAGGGAGCAGCAAGGCTGCCAGCCCCCATGGCTGATTACTTGGTGGGGAAGGGTGATCTTTATCTTCCTGATGTAAAATCCAGGCACTTTCTCTGGCCAGATCTACAAATTTTTGCAGCTGGCTTTGACTTACATTTTTACTGATGTTGAGAGAAGTTTCAAAAGGATTCTGAATGTGCAATGGAGAAGATTCAGGTTTGTTCTGTTCCCTTCCCTATAGATTATTACAAGGAAGAAAAAATATATACATACATGAAGGGCTCAGATATAAGAACAGTTTGGTTTAATAAAAATGTCAAAAAAATGTAAGCCCTGGCCTGTGTGGCTCACTTGATTAGAGTGTTGACCCATACACCAAAAGACTGAGGTTTGATTCCCAGTCAGGGCACATACCCAGGTTGTGGGTTCCAATCCCCGTCAGGGGTAAAGGGGGAGGCAACCCTGATTGATGTTTCTCTCCCTGTGTCTCCGTTCCTCTCTTAAAATCAATAAAAATAAAAAACATGTAAAATACCAGAATTAACTTTACAGAGTAAACAATTGCTTTCTTAAGAGGATTAGGTATATATGTGTGTTATGCATTTGTGTATATGTGTGTGTATTTCTAAATGATTTTTTTCATTGTAGTTTTATGAGTATTCTTTAGAAGAAAATTAATTTAGTTGATAAGCTATGGATGATGCTGCTCAGGTGACAATATCTGAACTAAGTCAATCAATAATAAGTATTTTTAAAATAACAAAACTTTTACTTAACAGGACAGATCTGGGAAGAAAAAAGAATGAAAAAGAAAAACGGCAGAATATAAGGTAAAGAAACATTTATGTTTGAGACTTGCTAAAAACATATCTACTATATTGAGAATAGAACATACAAAATTAGCAACCTTAAATTAAATAATTAATATTTCCTGTATATAAAGTCAGAAAGGAAGAAAAGGAACAAAAGATTATTCATTATTCATTTCAAAACATTTTAAGTTTCCTATTTCATCATTCCTAAATATCCAACAAAGTAAGGCTCTGCCAGGTATGATAGCTCATAGAAAGAAAAAAAAAAAAGCTGAAGTTATGACTCATATGAGCATAAGTGATCCATTAGCTGATATTATCTCTCTTTCAAATGATATAACACATTACTTAAAAATTACAAAACAAATGGTCAAGATTCTCCAGTGTTGAGTGAGCACCTGTTTATTCCCTAACTTTTCTCATGTCACTGCTCAACAGGGCTCCTGCCTGTCCATCATCTCTGAGCCCTAGGGGTAAGAGCACAAAAAGGATAAAGAATTTTATCTGTTCGGTAACCTTTTTCTAATCTGAAATCTAATTACAAATCAGATTGCATTTCTCTTCCCCACACTTTTTAAAAACAAAATCTTCATCAGCAGGACAAAGGTTAGGGAAGAATGAACAAAGTTAGGTTGAAGAAACAGCAAATAAAAGTTATCTGAGGATGTGTTTTATGAAACCACTCTTACAAGGGTTCTAACCAAATGTCCAAATGATAAACAGAATAAACCCAAACAGAGAACTATCTCAAGTAGCCCCCCCTCCCCATTTTATAAACAAATTTTTCCTAGGGGTCTACTCCAATTTTCTTTTTCAGAAAAATGTCTATCATTCCAACTATTCAGACGAGCCCAAATCATAAGTTCACTTGCAAAATAAATTAAATCCTGAAGGCTCAAATTGAGGGAATCACTAAAATCTATCTTTCAGGTCAGATATCCAATTTGTTCCCTGGGAACACAAATCCAGTTTGAAAAGAACTGTATATAAAGTTATGCTTTCCAGAAAACTTTTCAGAATTATATTCCAAATTTTGAAAGACACAGTATTAGATATTGAAAGAACTGGCTACTGCTCTCCCCAAAAAACTAGATGACTGAACTTAGTCAAGTTATATAGCTCCTCAAGGCACCAATTTCCTTATTAATATTTATTACTATAGAGTTGAAATGTAATATAACATTTGTTAGAATGTTTTGAAAACTAAACTAATTGAATATTAGTATAGGAGACCAAATACCTAATCACCAAATATTAAAATATTATTTACCTGTCGAATATTTATGGAATTTTTATTGAAAGCAAAATTTCCAAAATATTCAAAAAATTCCTTCAGTAGTAATTCTGCAAGAAAAGAAAATAAGAAGAAAGTTTGTTTCAATCCAAAATAGGACACACACAAAAAGAAAAAAGGAAAAAGAAAACACTTACCTAATGTTTCTGTGTTTTCTGAAGGTTTAATTCTATTCAAGTCACAAATAAAAGTGCAGTTGTGGCCTTCTATTATACATTTATCTTCTATATCTTACATAAACAAAAACAAAAAAATGTTTCACATTACATTTCAAAGATATTTCCTACTTCAGAAAATAAATCTGTAATTAAATCAATCAAAGTTATAGATGAATGTTTCCTATTATTACTCAGTGTTATATACATTTACGGTTAATGGGATTTAAAAGATTTAGACTTACACTACAGTGCAAAGAACATTACATTTAATTTAGCCTACTAGAATTACCTATCAATAACCAAGAATTCTTAATCTATCTTTTGAGATAGTTTTCTAGTTATAAATGAAAATGTAGACAGTGCCCATCTTTCCCCAACTCAAATTTTGGCACTATCTTTGATCAATAATATTTCATTTTTATCTCCATTTCAATTCTTATCACCTTTCTAAGCATTTTCAACAATACATCCATGACACAAACTGATACTCTAGTTTTGAAAAACAAACAAGTAATTTCTACAATGCAATACTTTGGGGAGATTGGAATTCAGTACAACAAATTTAACAGCACACTGGATGTAAACATTCCCCTTTTCTAACAGTATATATACCTTTAGAGATAATCATTTCCCTAATTATTAATAAATACACAACTACCAAAAAATCCCTCACCATTCTAATCTACCTTCCTTCCAGTGTATAATATTATAGGAAAACTCCCAATTTTCAAAAATCGAATCAATGTCCATCTAACCGGAAAGCATTTCTTAACTCCAAGGTTGGTGCTCCACCCTTTGTCCCTTGAGCACTTATCTGACTGTATTCTGATTGTATATATACTGTCTACTCCCCTACATCAGTCTGGGAGTACAAAGGCCACTGTCCTGCCCATGACTGCCTCTCCATCCAGTCTAATCCACAAAAAGTGTCTAACATATAGCAGGCACATAACCAATAAACTGATCGCTGATGTTTGATTTTGAATGCTTATCTATAATTGTCAGAGAAATTAGAAAGGGACAAGATAAATCAACAGAAAAGGTAAAGTCCTATGTGCTCTTCCCACCATGCCATATGTTCCAATAACACTAATCCTCTCTGGGAGGCAGCCTATTTATTAGTTAAAAGCACAGGCTTTATAAAGATGGTGAAATAAACACAAGAAACTACCTTCACCTCCTCTTTAAACATCACTAAAATGAGAGTAAAATGATAGAAAATCTTAAAGATAGAGAACAGGAGGTAAGAGCGATTAAAAAAAAGATTTAAGTTGAAGGACAGAGGGATAAGTAGTAATGACTTAGGAGATTTGAAAACACTGAATCCTAAACCAGCAGTAAAGAAAGCCAGGAGGAAAACCAAATATACACAAGGCAGAGCCCCTGACGGCTCAGGGATTGGAGGGCCAGTTTTGACTGGAAGTTTGATGGTTAAAGAAGTACTGAAGTCTTCCCCAGACCTCTTCTTCCCTAACAAAAGTTTCAGTATGCTAATAGTCTGGGGAATATGAATAGCTCAGAAGGAATGACCCAGAGACAGTGACATGTAAAGATCCCCAACATGAAACAGTCCAGGCAAATTGCCCTACAATGAACACTAATTAGTCAACAAACCCCACCTAAGCTCAAAGATTCAAATTAACTTCTGGTTTCTAACTCCAGCATGTGCAGAAATTCAGATTATCAGACATCTGAGGAAGGACTCTAACATAAGACTAAACAAAATAAAATGAAAAACTAATTAGAAAAAAGAGGTTAGGCAAAGCAGAATAGAATATTTGCTTCTTTTAATTTGAGAAAAGATTTATTTAGACAACTAGTAGCAAGCTGGAGACTCAATTACTGTTAAGTACATAAAAACTAAACAAACAAAAAACCAACAAGAAAATAAGTAGTATCAAAAACTATTAACTCCAAAAATATATAAACAGTTGGGCAGGAAAGGAAATTAATTTTAGTTTATTTCATGGATCAGATATGAATAATGTTTACAAAGTCATAATAGTGTAAAGTGCATACCAAAATTATGCTATAGCTACACTCAAAATATTAGGGGTGTGTGGTGGAGGAAAGAGTTAATTCCTCTTCTTATATAAAAGGAAGTCATAGATGGTACCTAAACCTAAAAGTCAAGAATTTTATTTTAGCAATATCTATGATTTAAAACTTCAAACAGATCAGCTGTTTGAGTTAAAAGGACTGCTCACAGGGAGAGGCAAAAGAAGCAGGAGGACTAGGCTCAGAGGCTGAGTTATTGTGATAAAGTTTGCAGAACATTTTTACTCTTTATCTATGTGCATGTATAACTTTGATAGAACTGAACAGTTGATTTCATCAGACAACATTAAGAGAGTGAAAAGGGAACCATGGTGTATATATATTTGAGATATATAGATATACATATACATACAGAATATGTGACAAAGGACGCATGCAAAATATATAAAGAATTCCTACAAATAGAAAGTGACAGATAATCCAATAAAAAATAAGGCAAAAGACTTACAGAAACCTCACAAGAGATACATAAATGTCTAATAAATATATGAAATGGTATTCAATTTCATTAGTCATTGGGGAAAAGAAAATCAAAGTACACCATGAACCACTACACATGCAGTAAGAATAGCTAACATTAAAAAAAAACAAATAGGTATTGCAAAGATGTACAGCAATTAGAACTTGTATACAATACTTGTAGGAGTTTATACTTTAGAAAACTCTTTGGCAATGTCTCTAAAGCTGAATATACCCAAATTCTAAGTTTTAGAAATTCCACTACTATAAACAGTGGGAACACTTTGTAACATATATGATTGTCTAACTGATATGCTGTACACCTGAAACTAATACAAAATAATACTGAATGCAAATTGTATTTGAAAAAATAAAGTTCTGATTTAAAAAAAAAGAAATTCTACTCCTAGTATATCTTTGACAGAAATAAGCATCCTGTTCACCAAAAGAAATGTGCTTGAATCGTCACACTAACACTACCTATAATAGTCCCAAACTTCAAATTACTCAAATGCCCAACAAAAATAGAATTTAAAAATTTTTTTTGGTATATTCACATAACAGAATACTACATAAGCAATGGAAACGAATACACTAATGATATGAATGCATCTCCTAAAAATAATGTTGAGAGGGAAAACATCATTTATGAACTAACATACTATACTATGCCTTTTACATGAGAATAACAGATCAAATTATTCTATGCTATGAAAAGGATGGAACATACAAGAAAATTAGAGACATATGGGGGAAAGTAGTGGAGATTTAAGAAAATAGAAATTCCAGAGTAACCCAAAAGATTAAAGATGCTATCACGCTCATTACAAACAGCTTTTAACTTTAAAATGTTCACCCACACATTTGAAATCTCTTTACTGAACTTCTACGATGGACCCAATACTGTCAGGAACAAAAATGCAGAGATGAGTCAGACAGCCTGCCCTAGAAAAGCTTGGCCAAGGCCAGCTGATAAAAGAACTACAATAATCTAACTGTTGTTACAATACAGGTGTGCACAGGGTGCTTAGAAGACACCAGAGCACTGCCTTCTGCGAGGAAGGCAGGAAAGTCTGAACAAATGATACCTTGGACTGGGTTTCCCTTCTCGCTTCCCTGGCTGAATCCTGAAGAGGTTCTCCACGTAAAATGGGGAGGGAGGAAGAACACCATAGCAGGCAAAGGGACAGAGATGTGAAAAGGAACAAATATCTGAGGATCAGCAAGGTGTTTAGAGAGCTGAAGCTCCTGGTGTGCACACCAGAATGAATGCAGAAGTGCAGAAAAAAGAAGCTAACAAAGGGCCCTAAATACAACACTATAAACTTTGGAATTTAACTTACTTTAGGTTCTAACAGTGGTTAACGAAGTTCCAGAAGTACTAGAAGGTATTCTAGACATTCATGCTGCCCTCTATTAAAAACAAACAAGCAAGCAAGCAAAATATATTTATTCCTTTAAAAAAAATACAAATAGCCTCTATCAAATATAAAAATTTTTTATAGAAAATTCAACATATTACTAGAATTTCAAAAATTAAATATCTTTGCATTTATTGGCAATGTGCTATATACAGAGAAGCACCTGCAGAAAACAGCCTGAAAATTTCTCTTACCATGTTTAAAAATGTAAAAAACTTTAAACAACCTATTTGGTATTTTGAAGTTAAAAACTAAACAATTCCAAAACTAGTTTCATCTGTTTTGATACCATAAGATGTTAATAAATTCAAATTTATTTTTAAATAGATTTGGAATAAAAACGTCATTTTAAATTTGTCCATAAATCATATTCTTTTCTCAAAATAATTCGCAGAATGTTAAATCTCTGTACTACAGTGAGTTCCTGAGAATATTGTCCATATCCCCACTGCACCAAAAATAACAGCAAACACATAGTAAGTAACCAATATTTAGTGAATGAATAACACCAAACAATGAGATGAGCATAGACATGGTTGTTACCCTTTATTTCAATCTCAAAAGTGAGAAAAATGGCCACTGCTCTACCTGAAAACTTCCTACTTTCCATTAACCTATCAAACTGAGCTCTTTTTAGAGCTCAATTTCAAGATATACTTACAGTGTTCACTCAAAAGATTATTTATAATTTGGATAAATAAGAAAAAATGGCATAGAAAAGAGAATTTACAGAGCCAGGTAAAAATAAATAGTGTGAAAAAGAGCTAAGATAAAATGTTAAGAGAGTAATCACAGTATTAGCAGGAATATGGAACATGTTAAGAGGAATGGTGGGAGAAGAGGTTGGAGAATTGAGTTGTGGCTAAACAAGTGAAAGTCTTAAAACAACAAGCTAAGTAAACTGAGGTTTAGTCTATAAGTAATAAAATCCCTTTTTAAAGTTACTTTAAACTGGGAAGATTTAGAGATGTACTTTTAAAAAACTGTCAGGCAGCAATATACACACATTTTGAGTGTATCCCTAAATTAGCTTCCTTTTAGAATTTAGGACTTTAATACTTTATATCTCCTCAAGCAGTCTATCAAAATTTTAATTTTTAAGTGTAAATTAAATAGTATAATAAATTTAAAATTTAAGATTGCTTATAAACTTTAAAAAATTTAGGATCTTAAAACATCATGAAACAATTAGAAATCTAGAAATAGCTTCAGATTTAGAAAGCCATATAGGCATCTGTAATCCACTCAAATGGCTTATCTGGAATATGCTTTTTTTTCTAAGTTTGGTCAAACTACGGGAGAGGCTCCAACTGTCTCATGATAGTTGTGAACAACCTTGTCAACTGACGCAAAAACAAAACAGAATTCTCAAAAATTTCTATAGGTCTCAGTTTTGCAACTCATCAGCTCTCATGACCCCTCATGGGCATAAAAAAAGTAAAAAGCATTTAGAAAAAGTTTAGAACCACAGGCTTTAAAAATATATAAGAAAAACTATATGACTAATAAACACACATGACATGGTAATTATATTCACTCAAAACGTTAGAAAGAAAATAGAGACTGCTTCTAGTCTTACCTGCTAGCGTTTTTAAGTAGTCTAGTGTTGGAAGAATAGGGGGTGATCTCCTCTGGAGAAAAAAGATGACCATCATTGTAAGGGAGAAATTTGTAATCCAAGCACCAGGAATACTACTTGTTAATGAATGTGCTCGAGCCCAGCAACGGATACTAAACACCAAGGCTCTCACTCGTGAGTCCAAGGCACCATATATATAAAGGAGTTCAGAACTTTTCAAGGCAATCCTTCCAAAGAAAAAAATTAAAAGAATTTTCAACCCTCCAAATTATGATCCCCAAAGTAGAATAAAACACACACCTAGAAACATATCTAAATATATCTTCCTATATCTGAATGTATTCAGAACAATGAGACCAGATAATCAAAAAAGTATGATTTATTTGCAATATAAAATTGAATGTGAATAGCTAAATATCAAATACATTCATTACCATTAAAACATTCTTCTAAATGTTGACAATTACAATATACTTCTAAAACTTAACATTTTTAAATCAAAGTTCCTAAACATGACTTAAGTGAAACACACTATATAAGGGCTCTTTAATAACTGTCAATAAAGGCAAGTAAGGGGCTTTGCACAACAGTTTCACATGATTAGCTAGTTCTTTGGTAGATAAATTAGCCTAAAAACAGAGGTAAACATTCTACTTATTTTATCAAGTATAAATGTCTTAAAATTCAGCCAAAATTACTTAAGTCTACTACTTACAACACTATAAAAACCAAAACCCACAAGGATAAAGTGTCTATTAAGAAATCAAACTTCAGAGCCTATTTTCCATAAGTTTCCTAGTCATAATGTTATAATGCAAAGATTATTAATCAGGAATACTTTTAAATATTTAAGCTCCTACTAATCAAAACATGTCTAGTAATTTCTCAAAGAACAGACATAGGGCACTAAATCATTTAATGGTATCCACTTCAAAATGTCTATGGAAGTACCACAATGCCATTTACTTCCTGAGTTGAAAGAGAATACAAGAAATGACAAATTAGAAATTCACAGTGATTAAATGTTTTACTGTGTAGTGTGGTGTTCCTACAAATATCACATGGATTCAAGTATTTTTCTGTCAAAAATCATTTTTGTAAAATCTGCCTGTGTTTTTATGCAACTAGTGATAATGTTATCTTTATTTTAGAATAAAAAGTATTTTATCTATGTAAATGAAGCTGAAAAATAAATATTAAATAGTAATATCTGATATAAAGAAACAATGCAAAAATTAAAAACCTGAAGCATATTAAAACAAATTTTTCAAAACCTGTCCCAACAAGACAATGAAAATAACACTATTACATAAATGCCATTTTGTTCTATTTTACATACTAGAAAGAAAATATACTGTTAGAAAGTGCAGTATATATTTTTACTTATTTTTACTCCATAGGCTACTTGAGAAAAATTCAGAAATACTCAGCACTGTCTTGTTAGTGAACACTTGAGTTTAATTAAATGAGAATACTAGAGTTAAAAAATAAACTCAATTAAAAAGTTTTCCCCTATGAGAACAAAAACAGACTAAAAAAGGTAATGAGAGTATGAAAATTGCTAAAGAAAAACTACAAGTCTAAAGCCACTCAGACTACTTTTTGAGTCAAGCAAATACCATACTTGTTCAGGACACAAAGTTGATTGTATCTAGAGGTAATTCAGAGGTCAAACTGAAGTTGCTACTCTATTTTCTAAGTATATTGCGAAGACTATATAGGGAAGACTATATACCATAGGTATGTTCATGTTGTCATCAAGCTGCATAGGTAAGAACAATGAAATATAATTCTTCCAGAAGATGATGTTAGGTATGATAACATTTTAACACAATACCCTAACATTTTACTTTTGAATGCCAAAAAACTAATACGTATAGCATAAGAGAAAGTATTTCCTACAAGTTTCAATCCAAGTGTTCAAATCTTTAAAAGATTATCATTAAAGAATCCAAAGCCACCAGACCAGCGGTTCTCAACCTGTGGGTCGCGACCCCTTTGGGGGTCGAACAACCCTTTCGCAGGGGTCACCTAAGACCATTGGAAAACACATATATAATTACATATTGTTTTTGTAATTAATCACTATGCTTTAATTATGTTCAATTTGTAACAATGAAAATACATCCTGCATATCAGATATTTACATTACAATTCATAACAGTAGCAAAATTACAGTTATGAAGTAGCAATGAAAATAATTTTATGGTTGGGGTCACCACAACATGAAGAACTGTATTAAAGGGTCGCGGCATTAGGACAGTTGAGAACCACTGCACTAGACTGTTCTGTTTAAGAAAAACTATGTTAATTCCTTATAATATTTACATTTAAGATGATAAACTCAAGAGATCATACCTATTGTTAGTAGTCAAATCACACTGAAATCCAGAGGCCTGGTGTGAGAATCTCACCAGTGGACACCGAGCATTTAATATTTTCTGTACACCCACACAACCAGGGCCAAAGTTGTCAAGGCATTCTCCTATCACAGAGAGGATCTTCTGAGTTGCAATTCTTTCTGAAGGAACATTTTTCACTTGAAATTCCATTAGAAAATTTCCTGAGGTCTGAATAATAAAAACATTTGTTAATAGGAGCTTTTTATAAAAAGGAATTTCTTACATAAACTTTTTCAAAAGAATGCTCTAAATCATTCCTGGCAAAAATAAACAAACAAAACAAGAACAAAGAAAACACAGCCAAAAGCAGATTTGACAGTATATGTACAAGATCAGTAGATCAACACAAGAAAAAGACAGTATAAACAGACTTAATTATAAAAATTTAATACTTAATAACATAAACTGCAAATTACTGGGGGAAATTACTATTCAACAAATGAGTCAAGTGACCATTAAAAAATAAAAAAAAAATTTAAGTCCCTACTTTGGTCCAAAAACCAAAGTAAACTCAAGGTGAATCAAAAATTTAAATGGAAAAAGTTTAAAAGTTTTATCAATAAAGTACAATAAGCGAATATTTTTACAATCTCATAGTAGTGAAGGACTCTCTAACCATTATACAAATTCCAGAGCACACAAAAGAAAAAATATGATTATATAAAAATTAAAACCATCTTAAGGCAAAGCATATATTCATTACTAGATAAAAAACAAAGTAAGATAAATGTCATATAAAGGGCTACTTTTCCTAATTTATAAATAAGGGTTTGTACATATGAAAGGGAGGAAAACACACCCAATTCTAAAAATGGGCAAAAAGACTTGAATAAGAAATTAACAGAACAAATAAAACTGGCTAAGAAACATAGTACAAGATGTTCTTGTTTTCATTTATCAGTCTGGCAGAGACAAAAAGGCTGACAGGATCAGCACTGGTAGTTGTAAGGAAGCATGTATAGTATACACTGACAGGGGAAGTGTAAACTGGGACATACTTTTGGACAACTTCATATCTATTGAAATTTTAAATATATACTTTGATAGCCATTACAATTCAAGGACATTATCTCAAAGAAAAACTTGCAAAAAGGAATCAATTTACAAAGCTGCTCACTCACTGCATTATCTGTGAGGCTCTCTACCCTCAATCACCCTTTCTTCTAGAACTCATTCCTAAAAGGATCCAGGCTCCAACATTTATCATGGAAGTGTACCCCTTACTTCCAGCTGAGTGGACCAGCACTATAGAAGTGTACCATTCATTCATCCAGAAATCTCTACTAGACATTGGAACTGAGGCTCAGAAGCAATCATGTGGCTGAAATATGAGACTCAGAAGTTTGAGGGCAGGTGCATTCTATACCACAAAGATGAAAATGTAAAGCAAGTCAATGAGGGAAGAGGGAGAGCAGAGTGAAGGGGAGAAAGAAAGATAAATAAAGCAAATTTGTGTGAGAAGAGAAAAAAACACTTCATGAATTCTTGATAGTTTACACTTCCTAGTTCTAGTCCTTTCCTAAGAATCATCCACATTGCTGGCCCTGGGTTCTATGATGCTTCCTCTACTACCTTTTTTTCCCCTTTGTTTAAGCTAGCTCAATTGGTTTCTGCTATGTATAATCAAAGAATATTATGCTACGCCTGGCAGCTCAGTAGTTGAACGCTGACCTATGAACCAGGAGGTCATGTTCGGTTCCCAGTCAGGACACATACCCAGGTTGCGGGCTCGATCCTCACTGTGGGGCGTGCAGGAGGCAGCCAATCAATGATTCTCTCTCTCTCTCTCTCTCTCCTAATATACCAGTAGTTGGCAATAAAAGTGGGGGGGAAAAAAAAGGATACCACCCTAGTTGCCTGATAGAATGAATGACTACTTAAAAGTATGTTACATTGATTCCAGGAAATATTTTGCAACCATTGAAAATGATGCAGTAGATAGAACTGCTAAAACCCTATTAACTGGGGGGTGGGAAATCAAGTTATCTGTATAGATTAAGTTATAATATATAAAGATTAACTTTGAGTTAAAAAAAGAAAAGAATTTCTAGCCTCACTTGGTTGGACATCTTGCCTTGCACTGAGAGGCTGCTAGTGATTCCCTGTCAGGACATATGCCAGATTGCAGGCTCAATTCCTAGTAGGGGCGTGCAGCTGATGGATGTTAAGTTCTCCCTTCTCTTTCTAAATATCAATAAACCACTCTTAAAAAAAAAGTCTACATGAATAGAAAAAAAGTTCAGAAAAAAAATAAACTAGTTAGAGTAGTTATTAGTTATCTCTGGAGGTGGTGAGACCATCAGAGATATTTACATTATACATTTGTGTAACTATTACTTTACAATCAGAAAAAAAGTGTTTAAAAATATATAAATGTGACATGTATACAAACAATCCCCACAAATCAATGTTATATTTTCTCTATTGAGTTTTGAACTTTTGTATTCGATTAAAAAATGGATTTCCTTTGAAAACATTAAAATTTCAAAAATCTAGTTTAGTTCCTTTACTATAACATCTTTGTAACTTTTGTTTCCCTAGTCCATTCTGTTTTAAAATACAAACACAGAAATTTATTTGGAAGGAGAAACCCAAACAAGAACCAGTAAATAAAATATGGAGCTCCTTAATGAAAATGCAAAGAAATAAAAACATCTTCTATCAAAGAGTAAGCAGGTTTGACTTCTGATACCGCCTCTCACACTTGTTAGAATAGCTATCATCAAGTAGTAACAAGTGTTGGAGAGGTTATGGCGAAGAAAGATTTCTATTTACTAGCAAACTTACATTCCTCAGGTGGGAATGTAAACTGGTACAGCCAATATGGAAAACAGTATGGAGGTTCTTCAAAAAATTAATAGAGTCACTATATGACCCAACAACTCCTCTTCTGGGTATCTAACCGAAACATTTATTCGTAAAGATATATGCATCTGTATGTTCACTGCAGCATTATTCATGGTGACCAACACATGGAACTGAAGTGCCCTTCAATAGATGATTGGAGAAAGAGTGGTACATACATACAATGGAATATTACTTAGCAATAAGAAAAGATGAAACACTGCCATTTGTGACAACATAGGTGGATCTTGAGAATATTATGCTAAGCGAAATAGATGTAGGAGGAAAGTTAAGAACCGTACAATTTCACTCTCCTGTGGGATATAAAACTGAAAGTAACAAATGAACAAACAAGACTAACAAAAACTCATAGACACAGAAAACAGTGGTGGTTACCAGGGGGAAAGAGGGGAGGTGGGGAGAGATAGTAAATGGTAAAGGGGGTCAAATATATGGTGATGGAGAGATTTGATTTTGGATGGTAAACGCACAATGCAATACACAGATGATGTATTAAAGAATTGTAAACTTGAAACATAATTTTACTGACCAATGTCACCCCAATAAGTTTCATTTAAAAAGATTAAGCAGGTCTGGAATAAAAAGACATATTTGGGATCAAACCATCTAAGGATGGCAAAAGAAAGGCAACAGGGAGAGTAGTATCAGACTAAATGGTAGAGGAGAAATGCTGGGCTCAGTTGCATCGATGCAAGAGAGAAACATTGATCAGTTGACTCCTATATGTATCCTGACCTCCAAGAACAAACCCAAAACTTTGCTAAGTGTGTGTACTGGCCAGGAATTGAACATACGGCACTCCAATTGACTGAGCCACCCAGCCAGGGCAGTAAATGTTTCTTATTAATTTTGTTATTCCTCATAGCCCTACTTAATTTCAGATAAAATTTTTAAATATTATTGCATGTTCTTCCTAATCTCACTAGTATTATGCCACTACCTAACAAAGATAAAACAGAAGTTAAGGACCTTGACCATAGCAATAATTTAGATGATAGAAAATAGGACTTAGCTACCAATTTTTATCTCTATTTCTTAAATCCACTAGGATATAGAACCAATTAGAAAAAGAAAAACTGAAAGAGAAAAGGCAAGTTTTAACTTAGGATTTTGTGCTAAAATAATCTTTGTGAAAAATCAAGTGATACATCTCACAGGTAAGCATCTTTCACACATTAAAAAATGTATGAAAATTCACAACTTTAGTAAGTAAATAAATAAGCAAATCATCTGTTTAGTGCCTGTGCTACACAGGACAGTCCACATAGTCCTCTAAGACATTCAAGAGTCTAGCATACTCCTCCTAACTGCCCTCACCTCAGACACACACAAACTACTAAAAAGTAAGAAGGAGGAGTTCACAACTGCATGAAGTAATCAAAAAAGATGTGCTATGAATTAAAAAGTGCTTTTTTCATTATAATTCATTTAATATTTATATTAGTAAAGTAATTGTGATGTTAAATATTCCAAACTACACATTCTTAACAACACTGCAAAGTTAAACCTACATGTAAAATAATGCCAAATTGTTTAGTGAGACGGAGTCACTATCTTTTAATATATTTTCTAAGTACTAGCTATATTTCAGAAACCTAAGACCCAACTACAAGGTTTCAACTCCTTTCTCTGCTTCCAACAGAACATTTTGTGTTTCCTACTTGTACAATCCTATCTATTAAAAGAGAAACATGGTAATTAGCGTACGACCGCTACCCTTCCCATTGGCCAATCAGGGCGATATGCAAATTAACTGCCAGCCAAGATGGCGGCCGGCAGCCAGGCAGCTGGAAGCAAACATGAGGCTTGCTTGCTTCAGTGACGGAGACCCCAAAGTTCCCACCTGCCTTGCCGGCCTCTGAGCTTGCAGTTTGAAACATTGTAACAAATACAGAAGCTAAACAAAACCCAAGAAACCTGCTTTCAGCCGGCTGGGATCTCAGAGCTGGAGTTATACATTGTTTCGATTATAGAACCCAAACAAAACAGATACCTGGTTTCAGCAGCAGAGGCCTCAGAGCTGGAGCCAAGCCTCAGAGCTAAAGCTGGCTCAGAATGAAAAAGAAAAAAAGGAGCGGTAGGGAGCT